TATAAGTGTCATAAAAAAATTACACAAATTCTGTAAAATAATCGAATTTCTGCAGAACTTTCAAAATACATAAGAGTAAATAAAAAAGAAATAATTTATATTGCAAAAAAAAAGAGAAAATATATTTGCATCATCTAGTAAATTAAATTTTGATATAAGAAGCCGTTCAAAAAAATTGAATAACTGTATATACATTATACAATATACAAACGGCTGATAACAAATGAAAATTGTGTATTCGCTTTATCATTTCTAAAGGTGACTGTCATTAATTAAACTATTATGAGGAAATCACGAAAATTATACATGTGCAACCATTTATGTCAATTTGAAGAATACTTTGCCTTTTTTTTCCCTTTTTTCTTCATATCATTGATGAGAGTATATTTACAACAAAAAATTTTCGGCATATTTTAATTAATAGAGCAATTAATATATTGTAGCAGATTATGAAACCTCAAAAAATATGTACTCATAACTGATTAAATACTACATTGTTCAAAAAATAATTTAATTTAAGTATCGGCCATTTACATATATAATCGCGCGAATATAAAACACACTTTGACTTATGACTGCTACATGTATGTATTAATATGTCGGGTAAAAATAAAATACGAAATTAAATTGTTACACATGTTGTTTCTTGTTCTAAATGTTAGAAACTGTATCCGAGTATATCAATAGGTATATTAATTTCTAAATTTTAATTTAAAAGTTTGACTTTCAGGTATAATATGCAGCAAAAGCTAATTCGCGAAATAAAACGCAATTTTGATTTTATACCTAGATTGCTCTGCAATTCTAGTAATCGATTTGTATCAAGCTTGATCGCTTGATATACCAGAATGCCACGCAAGTGTCAAACGATTTCACAAGCAAAATAAAAGTACAATCGATTTAATACGATTTAATAAACAAAAAAATAATATTAATGAAGAAATAAAAATATTTCTTACCTATTTTTTCTCAAGTGATGATTTCTAATAAGAAATTATATTAATTACATACATTGCTATCGTGTATTAATTATTTAATAATCTAATATTTTTTAAAATTAGAAATATACATTAAAAATTTTTTGTTTCGCGCGAAATAAGATTATTTTTTCAACTCACTTATTTTTGATACTTTGAATACTTCTAAGTTTATTTATTTCCGATATAATATCCATACACATATCAATATGCTAAATTTAAGAGATTAAATATTAAGCGATAGATGAAGAGAAAGGGAAGGAGAGTCTGTCATTAATTGATACACAAATAATACTATTCCTTGAATTAATATTCGTTGCGAATTTTTTATCGTCTTGCTATATTTTTGTTAATTACTGCTCCATATGTGTGTGCTTACATTAGCAATTGCCTTCCGGAAATTCCAATCTTTCACGATTTTTCAATGTACTCCGAAATTACATCTTGATCTATCGCGTTCGTCATTTTAAAAAATCACAGTAAATTGTGCTCTTATCGATGTATTTTAATAATCTTTTTGATTATTCTCGACAGGATTGTCATCGTGATAGATTTTTTTTTGTTTAATAAATCTTCTTTACAGAGTGAATTTACTTCCTCGAATTTTTATATCTACGAGGACAATTTGTCATAAGAAATTTAAGATTAAATAATAATGAAATATAGAATATAGAGTTATATAATAATAAAATATATAATGTAAAAAATGAAAGTTATCAATAAGGTCGTTTTTGGACCACGTCATAATCACTTCAAACTGTGCTATTTTATTCCTCTCGATGAAACTCACCTATTAAAACCATTTGTTATCCAAGCAATTAAAAATCGAGGCACTCTTACATCACACATAGGATATCACGCATAATGTCTGCTTCATTTCACTCTATTATCTATGAGCTCCCACCATACTTTTCCAAAAACTACTCGTATGTACTGCATAAAATATGTCAAAGCAGTTATTTTATCCCTTTGAACATCGAGCTCTGTATTAATCAGTACATCTTATTTTGACCAAGTATGTATGTACCAATAATGTTATAAAAAATTGAATGATGAAACTATAGTTTAAAGTTGAGAATTCAGACATTGAAAATGATTAGAAAATGATATACAAAATGTGCTAGAAAATATTGGAGAGAAGTTACTTCTTACATTCTTCTTCTGTGTGCTTGAGAAATTTTAAAAATCGGTTCCATCTTATTTAATCAGATAAATCTTCGTCTTCCCCTGGTACAACTCAAATCGATGATACCAACAGTTACAGTTTTTGAAAATAATATTGAATTTTTGTAACTGTTAGAACAACTACTAAATAAACAATTAAAGGCAAGGAACGCTTAATACAAAGAGCTATGTTTGTATCTCTTAATTGAACTCCAAACCGGAATCAGCTCTGCTCCAAGCATGAAAAATAGTATAAAGCTAGTATTACAAGAATATAATATTATTTTTAAAAACTAACTATTGTATCATCGATTTGAGTTGTATCAGGGGAAAATGAAGATTTTGTCTGATTAGATAAGATGGGACTGATTTAAAAACCTGCCGATTTTTTAACTTTCACAAGCACACAGAATGTAAGAAATAGCTTCTCCATAATAAATATCACATTTTTTAAATGTCTTGAATTCTCTAAATTAACTTTAAATTACAGTTTCATCATTCAATTTTTTGCAACATTATTGCTTACATATTTGGTCAAAATAAAATGTATTGATTAATACAGAGCTCGATTTCAATGTGATAGCACATGATATTAATACTAAAAATTGCTGAAAATTGGTCTTCAATAATTTTTTACTCAAATACTATCAACTTTACAGAAAAACTACAAGAGACAAAAATTGTTTATCTTCTCATAGAACTTTGAGAATTTCTATAGAATTTTTTAATACTATATTTTCTCATGTTGTTAAAAATAAGAAAATTCAGTACTAAAAAATTGATAAAAAATTTTGAAAAAATTCTTAGAACTCTATATGAAAAAAATAAACAATTTTTGTCTTTTGCAGTTTTTCTGTAAAGTTGATAGATATTTGAGTAAAAAATTATTGAAGACAATTTTCGACAATTTTCGACAATCTCACAAATAAGAAATCAATTTAATAATTGAATATTAAAAGTAACAAGTGTTTGCAAAAAAAAATACATATTCTATAAATATTATTGATATGTTTATTCCATTTTTCTATCGAATATCTTCTATCGAATATATTGATGGAATGTATTAGAGAGTAAATAAGTAGATAGAATGTTTCGAGAGAGAAATAGTCCCGATGATTCCTAGAGATTCGGTAAGCGAACTGGGTTGATGTTTAGTATTCTGGTGGCGGAAACGATATCCACACAGAACAACGTGTAAGTTGATATAAGCATCGCGCCGATAGAGTTAGTCGAATGGACAAGAATGGTAAGATAGTTGATAGATAGTGAATATTATGCTTGTAAAGTCTACATTTTCATAGTTTCTATTATCTTGAAATTTATAATGTGCAAAGTAAAATAAAAATCGATATTAAGCATGCAGGATATTTATAAATCCTTTATCTAACGTGCATTATGCCAGGAAATCTTGTAAGATGTGTCATACGTGAGAGCGTTACTTTTTGAGAGCGTTGAAAATATGTAAAATAACTGAAGTTATTCATATTATTCTATCTCGAACATAAATCAAAGTGAAATGTACAATTTATGTTTCCGTGATTATAATTCAATAATTATAATTTAATAATTGATTAATAAATATAATTACGTGATTATCATGATCACAGATAAAAACACTAGTTTTAGTGGACAGAATGCACAGTATTATTTATTGAAAATTGATGAAAGCAAACTTGGATAAAATTTCGAAAACGATTTATTCCTGGTTGTTCGTCGGTTAGGTCAGCAAAGTCATGATTTCCACACGGGATTCCTCGTGGCAAAATATACATACATACATACATACATATATATATATATATATATTTTTTTTTTTTTTTCACTGTACATCGAGCATATACGCGTCATCGGGAATTTGTCATGGTATTATAATTAATAATTATAATTATTTATAACTAATTTGCAAATTGTTAATTTTTATATAAAATTTTTTTTTAAGACTCGATTACTAAATTACTTTTTCGATTTGTAAAATTTTATACTTTAAGACAAAAATTATCTTATTTTTTTCTTGAATTGTGATTATGTAATAAATGTAACGTTATCAAATGTGACTGTTAGGATTCATTAAATTATTTCTAGTTTCGAGATTAGTTTTTTAGCTAAGTTTTTCTTAACAGAAACGTGATAATGCGATTTGTAAATGCGATTCAGTGTGACAGGTGATTATGTGGAGAGAGAGAGAGAGAGAGAGAGAGAATTAGCCAACAATTTATTGTCTTTATATATATTATTATATTGTATGAATTTATGATAAGAGAGAGAAAGGAGAGGAATCAGGAAAGAGAAGGGAAGAAAGAACAAAAAAAAATCCGAAAATGGTTTTTCAGTAGATGTAATAAAATTATCATTGTAGAATCATATTTAGCGAAATTTGATTCAGAAGGCAAATGATAAATATTAGGTGTTGGAATTAATTCGTAGCGTTTTACAAGTGATGGGAAGTACTTTCATTAATGTATTTTTTAATGCTCATGTGAAATAAATAACATTCTTTCATTAAAAAACGCTACGAATTAATTCCAACACCTAATAATTTTCTAAAATTTTCACTTCAGCTATTTATATTTTCGAAATTCTTTCTATTTTATGTACAATTGGCTATAATTTTATACATACTTTGATACACCTCTTTTCAACGTTTTGTGTGGCAAAGAATGGCAGGGTCATGAGGACATATAACGGAGGTGTACGACGACCAGCAGCGCGGTTGGCGGTGGCGTTGCTTTGAGAGGAATTGAGAAAGGGAGGTTTGTTGGAAAAGGATAGCGAGTTGTAAGCGATGAAGCTGGGGGGAGAGGTAAGCAGGGAACGAGGGGGCAGGTAGCTGGAGGGTGAAGGGCGGAATGTGGGCGGCTGGCGTGCTCTCGACCGGGGGGTGGCGCGCACAGGAGGTGGCAGGCTCTGCTCTGGTGCGTCAGAGCCTGCAGTGAGCCCGGCAGTGAGGCGAAACGTTGGGCTCCGCGCGGGAGTCTCGTGGCCGCCCGTTTCTCTGAAGAGTCGGGGTGCCTTTTCCCACGAACCATAATTTACACGCCACGCTATTCCCTGTCGTTCACTTGCCTATTCACTTCCCTGTCTCCTATCCGCCCGAGTTTTTTTCCTTCAGGACCTCTTATCGGTTCGTCGCGAAATTTCACGCACTTTTACAGCTGTTTGCGGTAAAAGCGCGCCAAAATCGTACGGCATGCACGTACGATTTTCGGTAGGCAGCCCTTCTGAAGTAGTTCGGTATAGAAATATTGTGATTAGATCGTGCGATAATCATGGGATTGACAACATGTTTTTTTTGTGCTTTTTCGCGATGATAGGGTTGTCTCGCGGGAGTGCGGATACTCTCCTCCCCTCCCTGGGTAGCACGCGCTGGATGCTGCAAAACCGGCCGGAAAGACTTTAACGCTTTAATCGAACATCAAGCTGGTCATCGTTTGAAATCACTGTGATCATAAATGATTCTTTTTTGTTGTGCCAAGATATCATTAATTTGCGGATTGAAAGTCATAAGTGTGTGATTTTCCAGGATATATTTTTTTAAATCTCTATGTGCGAACGTCGACAAGAGTGCAAAAATTTTAATTTAATTAAGTTGTATTTAAGATATATATTATTTTAGAACGACAAATGTATTTTCGGAAACAATTTTAAAACTTAGCGACTATAAAACTTAAGTGAAATATTTAATTTGTAGATCGCGAGATATAATCGTTATCATCATTACATTGCATATACATATACAATATTAGATACATGTACGTACAGAATAATAAGTTAAATATTTTTTTTCGATCTATCACTATAATAGAGAATATCACTATAAATCACGAAGCTGAATGAAAAATATAAAAAATCTTCTTCGGATATTTTGTATAATGATCAAATGTGCGAGAAATGAATGATTTGAAATTCTTGTAGAAAATTCAATGCCAATGTTTTTGAAGAGCTTCTTGATAAAAGGAATTGAAAATCTGCCAGAATAGTATAGTGTCTTTGAGGTCGAAAGTTCACGAGGACTCCGATTGCGGCTGCTCATACGCGTGATTGATTCTGATGATTTCCAATTAACGATCTATCTAATTTTAATTATTCAATCATATTGAGCTTTACAAATCTTTCATACATGGAGATTACATTTTCTTATTTTAAATTAACTGATCTATTCCTTTTGACACATCCAAGTGCTTATATTCTAATTAGATGATGTTATGTTTTAATTTTAATACAAATATCTACGTTCTATTATTTTGATAGAATAGTAGTATTACTCGAAACTTATGATATTTGAAAACGCTTATAATTTATCCGATTATTAAATTTTAGTTTTGATTCAGTCATTATTTGATTTATTAAATTAACTTAATTATTCTATAAAATGAGTTAATATTTTTAAATAGATTTATTAAACGGATTTATTTTAATCAGATTAACATTGCTGTTGACATTATGAATTTCTCATAAAATTTCATCGAGTAATTATATAAGTTTTGACTAATATATATATTTTAATTCATCTAATTTCGTCCGAATAATAATAAGGAGATCGATTGATGACGATAGATCAAATCGTCTGCCAGACCTCATAGAATAACATAGGTTCGATGCGGAGAGATGCCGCGTGTGTTTCCCTTGTCCGCGAGCTCTCTCACGCACCGCCAATGCGGCTGAGATCGCGCGATCCCATTGGCTGCTCCCGTGCCGTGGTGTCGGCGATGGGTACATCCAGGTTCGACGCTCGTGTTCGACCAAAGTGGTGAGGTGTACGCGCGTAGATTCTCGCATTTCCTTGCGAGAAGCATTCAACCAGTTAGATCAGGTGATTGCGAGAAGAGGAAACGTGAGATTTTTTGATCGGGGAATACTTATCAAAAATTAGTTCAAGTAATTATTGATTATATTAATTATCGCGGTATGTGGTGTCAACAGTTTGTTAGATTGATTTGCGTACAGTTTATATTTTATTTTAAATTTATTTGTGCGAATGTGTGAGACTATGAGTTAGTGCGTTTAGCAAAAAAGACGAGCGTTTGTGAACTTATTGTAAATTTGCAAAGATTAAAAATCGTAGAAAAATACATTAGAAATACAAAATTTTACAATTAGATTTTAAATGTTTAAAAAAAAATTTTTGAAATCATCATTAGGAATCTAAGAGGCAGTATTTGAGAATAAAAATGTGAGAAAAATATTAAAATACTCAAAAGATTTCTTATTTAAATTCTTGAATGTAGAATTTAATAGGATAATATTTAACTGAATGCTTTAATAGAATGAATTTTAATAAAATGATTTTTAAATTTTTAAATAATTGATCACGTGGTATTATAATTTTGTATTAATATGAATCTTTCTCAGACCCACAAATCAATAATAAACTATCAATTGTTTGAATAATTAATTATTTGAATGATGTTCGAAACGAGACAAAATTGGTAATTAATCATTTTAATAAGTTATCAGTAATTGCAATAAAAACCATAATTAGTCCGTAAAAGTCATTATTAACGCTGGGTCAATTTATTGACTAATCAAGGCCACTCCTTTTCAAAATTAGTACTATATTTCTCTCTCACAAGTCCTGCGTACATGCCGGTCTTGTGCTGTATCTGGCTCTTGGCCAGTAAACGAAAGAATGTGTGAATTTGAGATGGGTTATTGGAAAAGATTCTGGGGTGAATTACAGAGTAAACATGGTGTTTCTTTAAAAGGAAAACGTGATTTGTGGCTAATTTATCGTGTAACTTGATTATTTTGCGGTTATGTGTAGCGAAATGCGATCTGATATCGAGCATTATCACGCCGGTTGAGGAAAAAGCAAATCCTTCGGCTGCTCGTGTCGTAAGAACGATGGGCCTTTCGGCCCTTCAACCACGTTCTGAAAACGGTGGAAAACGGGCGAAAGTGCAGTGTACGATATTCCTTCGAGTATCGCCGTCGTCGACTGCACCTGCAGGGGTGCATTGATCCGACGGTGAGGTGAGAAAGGGGCGGTAAAGGACGAAAGAGAAGGGCGACCGAGTCGCAGCGGTATCCTGGAATTTGCGCAAGACGTTGGTGAAATGCAGATCGTATCGGATTTATCCTGATTTTTTGGGATTGGTTCTTTTGTTAAATACTTAAATTTTGTGCTATGTTATATTTTCTATAGTAACACATAATACTATTAAGATATTCTCGCTTGATGATAACACCAATATGACTTTACCAAATAGTAATGCGTTTTTTTAATGAAAAATATTTGAAATTTTTATGATTTATATATATTTTTATGATTTATAAATATTTGATATTTTTAAGATATCAAAAATCTCAAGTAATATCAACTTTGTGAATTGGCACTTTCTCATTGATAAAATTATTACAATTGCATTATAAAATTTGTAAACATCATAATTAAAATGAAATAATAATTGATCAAGATTGATTGTGAAGCATTCAAAATATTAATCACATTTAAAAAATTTGCTTTAGTTGATTTTATTTATTTGAAAATCTTTTCAACACAAGCAAGGTCGCGATAAACTTCTACCCTTTAAATCATCAAACACATTACTTCTGCATTATATGTCAATGGTCAATTTATCGTACTCCTTACGCTAGAATTCTCCTATATTTCTCTCTCTCTCTCTCTCTCTCTCTCTCTCTCTCTCTCTGTGTGTGTGTGTGTGTGTGTGTGTAGCGCGCGCGTGCGCACGCGCGCGTATGTGTGTATGTGGTTAGCTTCGTTTTTCCTTTCTAGTACAAAGTCTTACCATCGCAAACTTGAAAGTTTTGCCACAATCGCGTCGGTTGATGAGCTGGCGAAAATATGTCTCTAGTAACAAAAGATGTTTAGCAGAGCGACTTATCTCTAACGAAGCCTTGGCCATTACTACACCAATTTCCAGATATTTTTAAGAGGATCAATAATGGACTGTTTGCGGTTCTTATGCATCTGGCACGCGCGCGCCAGCCACATGCAAGCGTTATGGGCATTTTTTTTTCATCTTTTTGCCTCTTTGAAGCGTTCGAGCCTTTGAAGCACGCCTCTTTTAACTGCTTAGAGTCTATGAAAAATATGTAACTATTATGTTCATTGCGTGTGTATTTGAACTTTCAGCAGTTGATTAGTTATATAGATTTTCATTTTTTTATCTTTTATGTTTTGAAATCTTTTACTTAAAAAATTTTTTACCATTATTGATTGCACTTTTTTTGTTCAGAAATAAATGTATCATATTTTTTCTTAAATTGGTTTTTTTCTCCATTCTCGTACTGAATTAATCTATTCAATGCTGACTATATACACGCATCATAATCAGCATCAGATATTTTTTATGAGGAATATTTCACTTGTATTTTAACTAATTTAATTAAGACTACAAACAGTAATCTCGAAAATTGTCTCATGAATCTTCTTTGCATTGGACGACTGGCGCGTGACGTTTCTTGAGAGAATGAAAGTAATTTCATTTTTCCCTCTGTTGCAACCGTTTTTTCCGGCTTAGCCTCGTTATTCCGCGATAGCACCTTTATTAATAGCGCGTTGCAACAGAAACTAAATATCCCATGTCGTTGAATAAACATTTATTTTTCGCACTTTCCATGGTTTTTTAATAAGTGGCTATCAAGTACGCTAAGTCAAACTGTTTTGAAAAAAAAACTTGTCTACAAATATTGTATATCTTTATGAATTTTTCATTAAAAATTATATTAAGTTAAAAACTAAAAATTATAATTTATAGTTTTGGAACATCATACCTAATATTTATTTGTTAGATAGTCAAATTAATTATCGAAAATGAAAGGAATTATTTTAAATTAAAGAACTGAAAATCTATTAATTAGATTGTTCTATTGATCTATTGATTAGATTGTGTAATTATAAATGCTGTGGCAGAATATGTTTTAACAGCTATATATGTAATTACGAAGCTTTAAAAAGTAATCTTATAAGGACTCTCTTGTAATCCTCTTTTGTATTAAGATAGGATAGAAAGAATTTTCTTTTCTGAAAGAAGAAAAAATTAATTCTTTGTTTCATTTCGAATAGTCAAGATTTTTTTCGAGATTGAATTGTTATTTTCACGATGCTCTTATTTAACTTTAAAAGTACAACTAAAAATACGACGCTCGGGAGCACCTCGGGGTTAGAGTTTTATTTTAATTTAAAGTTTAGTATCAGGAAGAGAAAATATTGTAAATGTTATTTTAATTTAAAATTTAGTATCAGGAGAAGAAAATATTGTAAATGTATATAATTTTGTTTAGAGCTGTTATTATAAATCATTATTATAAGTCATTGAAAAATATTTCATCAATATAAGTAGTACACTGATTTTCAATGACAAGCAATACAATAATTTTCAGTAACAATAATCTATGGGCCGTGATAAAAGTAATTGTTCAAAATTTAAAATATAAATAAAATTTAACGTAAAATTGTTTGAATAAATTTATTGTACATTCTATTATGATGGCTATGTGACGCATTACTCTGTACGTGATTGATCGAAATTCAATCGATCAGTACTTAAAGAGAACCAATCCCATGAAAAGAATTCTTTTTCTTCGCAAAGTTTAACGGATCTTGACCATTGCTGTTACTAAATTCGCCAATCTCCTTTGTTCAGCCAGTGATTTAACGTTCATCAGAAGGAAGAAAAAACATCGAAGAATAATTGATCAAGAAGTGACGAAAACGACAGTGACGTCTTGAACGTCGCTGTGAAATCAACCGTTAGAAGCGAGGGAAACGCGAGTGCAAGTGCACAACAGGACGGTGGTGGTGTTCAGGCAGGGAGTGCGGGGCCGGCAAAGCCTTGTGACGAAAACGAAGGATTAGATGGTGGAGGTGCTCGGAGGCCGGGCTAGGGAGCCTACGGGGCCGCACAGGGCACCTCGCACCTACCCAGGGCTAGTGCAGCTGCAGGTGCGCCGTGTGGGCCCCCGCAAGAACATAAAGGTCACCTCTGTGACCCAGAAAGACTCGAAGAGTCGCGGAATTTGTGTTGAGACGAGCTCTGAAAAGGGCCAGGTACGTCCCAAGCTCATCGCGCGGTACGTACAAGGCGCAAAGAACGAGAAACTCCCGTCGGAAAAGATTGATCCGACGGGACAAGACGAAACGGAGAAGGAGGACGTTAGTCCTAGTGGACGGCCGTTCGCGGCCAGATTCAAGTACAAGTCGGAGCCCGATCCGGGCTCCTGTATAAGAAGCGAGGCTGGCGAGCGCAATGTGGCAGAGCGGTGGCATGGGCACCCATGCGGCCAACAACCCATGGATGAAGTTAATGGGCATCGTCCACAAAGAACGGAGACATCACGACTCGGGGTCCACCGCCGCCGCTGCCGCTTCTGGAGTGCAGGGTTCAGCGACCACCGGCAGCAACGATCGGACGCTCAACCAGTGAGTGTATTCAACCTTAAAAAATCTCTTCATAAATGTAGATTTTATTTTATTATTTAAAATATAATTGTTCAGTATAAATTGTTATTGTATATGTATATACATATATTTATATGCATATATAAGAAAATTTTATATATATGGATAATATATATAAATATATATATATACACACACAATTCTTTTTCTTTCTTTCTGTATATGTGTATATACAGGATGTTCCATTTTAATCGATCACCTCAAATATCTCTTGAACAGTACATTTTAAAGAAAAATGTTTCAGACAAAAGTTTTGGGACTTTGAGGGGTACATAAGATGGTGCTATTAGTTTAACCTTGAGTGGCATCAAGGTGGCGTCAAGGTCAGAGCAAGGTCACCTTGAATTTTTTAAACAGAACCCCCCTCATTTTATATTACGTATTCTTGTAGCTTACTTCGAGACCTTTCCAAAATACTATAATTAAGTTTATTTTCATTAAGTACTTTTCGAGTTATAAGGCTTGCAAGTTACAGCACTGCCGGCATTAGCATTACCCAAGGTGTCCGATCGACGGCTAAAATCTCTTGAATGTTGTTCAGGATCATGACCTGGATAATATTTGTCAAGATCAGAGTCATTGCAGATTGTTCCTCTTATTTTTATTTTTGCACTAAAAATTCATTTCCACGTAAAAATGAAAAAAGAGGTACAACCAATGACTTTGAACTTGATAAATATCAGAATATAATCCTGAACAACATTTAAAAGGTTTTAACCGTCGATCAGGCACTTTGCGTAATGCTAATGCATGCAGTGCTGTAACTTCCAAGTCTTATAATTTGAAAAGTACTTAATGAAAATGAACTTAATTACAGTGTTTTGGAAAGCTCTCGAGGTAAGTTACAAGAATACGTAATGAAAAATGGAGAGTTCCGTTTAAAAAATTCAAAGTAACCTTGCCCTGATCTTGACGCCACCTAAAATCAAATCAATGACATCATCTTATGTCTACCTCAAAGTCCCAAAACTTTTGCCTGAAACATTTTTCCTTAAAATGCACTGTTCAAGAAATATTTGAGGTGATCGATTAAAATGGGACACCCTGTAATTTAAATTAAATGCCGATGAAATGTTATTTGAGCATTGCAGCAAGCTGAAATTGAAAAATGTTTACCGAGATGATTCGTCCCGTCAAAAGTTGTCATAATTCGAAGCGAGTGTAGAATGATTGAAACTCGATAAGTTTGATTTACTCATTGAAGGGTCGGCAAAAGTAAATACGGCATATCATTGAGAAAGTAGAGAAGAGTCTGTGCGAAGATCAAATTATAGATTCACTCATTTCCATTCTCGATCGAGAAACTTAATCATTTTATAAATTCTTTGCAAGTGTTCGAGACTTGCGAAGAGAGTGATTTTTAATTTGATAAATCAGTTCTCGAATAGATATTGATATTTGTTTGCGATATGTTATATGAAATGAATCTATTTTTTGTTATTTTATTTCGATTTCATAACGGATTTTTTAAATTTATTTTTTTGTATTTTCTTTGAATTTTTCAACTTGTAAATTGCATTATTATTATTTTAAATTCTAAATTCTAGATGTATAGATTATAATTAATATATAATTCATATTGAATTATATATTAATTATATATTAATTATAAAATAATCTATACATATATATATAAGCACCCAGCTATTAAAAATTCAGCTTATTAAAAATTCAGCTCAATCTTATAGGCCTTTTAATTCCTATTTCTTATTTCATAATTACTAGAAAACTACAAAATAATTTCTATATGTTCTATATGTTAATTTTTATGTATTTTACAAAAATATCGTCAATGCAATATAACATCGAAATAAGGCGAAACATGTAGAATAACGAGAAAAATAGTTTTCATATCGCTTCTCCATTACTTCCATTGTTCTTCCGTTATTGTTTCATATAATTTTGTCTGCTATTCAAAGCAACTATCAGCATATTATGTTAGATATATTATCGTCTATTTTCTGATATGATATACTATCGTCTATTTTCACGATTTGTAAGTTTTTCTGATTTTCTCTCATGCTTCATTGTCATTCTCATTAAATAGATTTGTATATTAGTCGAAATGCGCTGGCTAAATTTTTCTCTTGAAATCACACAAATTCCGAATGTGTATGGACGAAATAGATGTAATTATATACAGAGTCATTCGAAAAAATGAGACTCCTATGATCTTCAAAAGTATACACTTTCAGAAAAAATGACCGGAATAAAAATTGTAGGAGTCATGAAGGACTATCTTATGGTGAAGTACATTTCGAGTTATAAGGCTTGAAAGTTATAGTCTCGCCAGTATTATTATTACGCAAAGATAATACCGGCGGTAACTTTCAAGCCTTATAACTCGAAATGTATTTCATAAAAAAATATTTCATTATAATGTTTTAAAAAGCTTTCGAGGTTAGCTACAAGAATATTTAATGAAAAATGGAGAATTCCATTTAAGAAATTAAAAGTGACCTTTATATGACCTTTACAATTATTCAAGGCCAAATTCAAAGTCACCAAAAGATAATCCTTTATGACTCCTACAACTTTTATTCGGGTCATTTTCCCTGTGCGTACTTTTGGAGATCATAAGAGGGTCCTATTTTTTTCGAATATCCTTTATATAGCTCATCATTTAAGAACATCTTAATGTTACATTTTCTTATATGTATAACTACATGTATAAAGTGTTTTTGAATTGAGGCTATAACAAAAAGAAGTAAATTATCATGAAAAAATAAATCGAGAACATAAAATGAAATTTTCTCGTTTTGTTGTCAAAAAAAATGATCGTGTAAAAAAATCAGTAATATATTTATACTTACATTTAAAATTGAAATGATTTTGTATATTTGTTATCAAATTTATCTCATTAGAAGTTATTAATATTAAAATTAAAATTAAAAACATAACGTGCTATTTAATAAAATAATTTAAATTATTAAAGAAATTATGAGTAATATGAAATATATATATAAAATATATTATTTTTCTGATAGAATGTTGTTTTATATCAAGCTTAAAATTATGTTATAAATTTTTTTTTTTTAATTATTTTTAATTATTTTTCAAAAATGATGTTTGTATGAAAAAATTTGATTTTACTTCTTTTACTTAATTTTTTATCAGATATCCTTTTTCTTATTATATCAGCAATTTGAAAATATTTTTTCTGTATTTATAGTATCTTATAGTGAATTCACTTGGATGTGTCCTAGTGAGCACTAATGAATATTAAAGCCGTTGTACTGATTTAATCTAACAAGTGTAAAAGTGAAGTACAATATATTTTGAATTATAAAATACATATTTTGCTTAACAGTACAATAAAATGTATTGAGGGTTTAATTGTTTAACCTGTTTCTATATTTATATTAAATCTTTATGGCAATTTGTGTACGATGGTTTTAATATGTACTAGTGCGCATTGAGTGCGTCCAATTGAATTCGCTGTTAAATTTATGTTCACTCAAATGCAGTTTATATAGTAAAGGATATGACAACGCATTTATCGTTTACCGTTTATCGTTTATTTAATTTCCGGTTGAGTGATAGTGAAACGAGGATCATTTTTTTAGAAGTTGTTTTCGATGTTGACGAATGTTATGTTCTTCGGATAGATGGGCGATTTCTATAAATAGTTTTATCTCTCCACAAGAAATTTCAACGATGGTGGAAAGACGTTGAGGAATGCCCTTATGCCTAGAAATTCTCGAGATCACATTTTAGACAGCTCAGCTGCAAAAGCGAATTACATTACAAATTTTGGGATATTAGCGCACATTTTCATTTGCTGTCGAAAAATATCATCTATTTTTTTTATATAATGATATAAATATGCTTACTAGAGAGAGTTTCATTTCACATTGAGTAATAAAAATAGTAATTTCGCAAAATATTATTCATCAGAAATAGAACGAAAATTGGTGGTTTAGTAATTTTAAATACTTTATATAGATACATTCTAAATATTCAAAAAACAACTTTGCTAAAAATTATTTTCTTTTAAAGTAACTTAACTTGAATGTTTGCGAACTAAGATTAATTTTATTTTAATTATTATTCAGATAGTTAATGGAATGATACGCAATAAAAACTTTGTTTTCTTTGACGATTGAAGCATTGATGCGCGAGTGGACATATCGATATTGTAGAGAAGCAAACGAGACTACAAGAGACGAATGTGCGCTCTTTTCTTTTCTCGCAAATAGCGACTTGATCATCGCATCATGTTGTATGAAATATCGCGAAAACGTTTTGTAATATTTCTCACTTTTTTAACTTATATATATA